GAAAAGTAAATAAGAAATTCTAATTATTTACAAAATGATTTTAGGTTTGCTGCTCGCGGCCAGTTAATCCAGCGCCGCAGCCGCAGCCGCAGCCACAGCCGCGGCCACAACTACAACCGCAGCCACAACCACAACCGCAGCCACAACCACAACCGCAGCCGCAACCACAACCGCAGCCACAACCACAGCCTATTACGCAACGACCCACAAATCCCTTCCTACCCCCCGTACCTTCAACTACTTCGGCACCAGTTATAATACAACCGAGACCACCAACCAATCAACCACTTCAGATCTCAACTTCTCGTCCCACAGCAACAACGAGTACAACAGAGGCGCCAAGAGAAGTTGTAGATCGTGCATCTGGACAGGAATGTGTTGATCCAAGATTACGACGCGGTGTTTGTACTGGTAAGTACTTAAGAAGTAAATAATGGAGCATATCCGTTCTCCAAAGGAAGCATAGTTTAGTCAACTTAACATTAACTTGATTCTGATATGCTTCAGTTCGAAGAGTTCAGATGTTTTTAGCCCCATGAACCGCATAAATACCCCAACGCTGAATGAAAATCAAAAAGTTTGGCTATCCGGTAATATATGGAAGGATTAACTGCGACTGAGTAAAGATCCTCCAATAATGGCTTGATAGAGAAGTTATTGAAAGCCCTCGATATGCCGCGAAAAACCTTCGAGTGTGTATTTCCCGGAATGTTAGCCTTTTCTTTCCGCAACTCCAACCTATGAAAAGCTGTCTTTGTTTGTTTACTCTTCGCACAAGCATGTTTACCGCTCTGGGAACTTGGAATCTGCAACGCGCTGGTAGGGTTTGCCAACAATCTCCTTCGAAATCGGGTCATAAACTGAGAACTAGGAATTTCTCGTCTTAAAAAGTACGCAATAATGAGCACTCAGCCAGGGGCATCGCTGTCACCTCTACTACGGAATATTGCCGTTACAAGCTAGCTCGCTTAAAGAGATAGAAGGTGGACTTTTAGTATTTAGCTTCCACCTTCCTGACTACACCAGTATTTTTCAGGCGGAATTGATGGCTTTCTCACTGTTATAATGTGATACGATTCCTAGTCATGATATCTGCATTTGTACTGACAGTCAGGCGTCTATTAAATCTCTGGGGAAAATGGCGCTGACCTCAAATTTAGTGGCTAAATGTCAGCGATCTCTCAGCCATTCCGCACACGCATTGCCTGGGTACCTTGCCATTGCGACATTCAGGCCGGGCTGAAGAACTCGCGGGTCATTCAACTTTTTTTTCGTGCAACCCT